CCTGAACTGTTGCGTTAAATATGCTTACGATCACAAAATATGGTAGAGAAATAACATCCCTCTTCCCTCCTCCCCAATGACTGACGTCACCGGGGAGAGTTAGAACCTGCATGTAATCTGTACTTAAGAACGACGTCAACACAAAATCACTCAAATTCCGGGGTTTTTTTGTTCCACGTCACACGGAGCAATATCCCAGCCCCACGTCATGATATAGTCGGCATGAAATAATGTCTGTTACAAGAACAATTGTTTGGTTTCATGCAGATCTGATGAATGTGACTCGATCAAAGTCGCACACTGGGGTTCTTGCTATCGCTGTACATTTGAACGCATTAAAGAATTGTATGTCCAGCTACGGAAAACATATATCAACCAATATTTCTTTGAAAATCCAACTTTGCATAAATTCGCTCAGCTCATGCAATCCACTGATATAAAAACAATCCAAGGTACAGCTATGGTCCTGTTCAAAGTGCTCAACGCACGTCGTGTAGCCCCATGAACTTTAAAACTAAATTGATGCATGCAGTGTACATTATCAACCGATTGCAATACTGTATTTTAGGCCAGAGGCCTTATACTCTAATAAAGCTGTCTGTCTGTCTATATGTACATGTCTAAGCGTATGCACGAGTGTGTCTCTGTATGTCTCTCCATCGTTCCATCTTTGCCCACCTATACATTCGTGCGTGTTGAAGACGATCCTCATGAATTGCGAAGGTGCTGATTTCAGCTCCTGTCGTTGATAATCCACCCAAGATGGCGGAGTAGCCTAGATGTGAACTGAAGAGTCTGAGAGTCTGCTTGGGCTTAAATGCAACAATCGATAAAGCCTAAAAGAGAATGCCCATTGGAACCGAGTGACAGACTTCGTAATAGCCACACGGCCATAGAAATGTCAAACGTGAGGATCTTCCACTGATGGAGTGACAAGGTAGTACGATCGATGCACGGGGATTGTCGATCTAAAAGAATGTTCTCACTGCTGATGGAGTGGAACAAGTTGAGGGAAAAAAAGTGGTTTGCAGAGTTGATATCTGTGCCGAACGGTAGGTTCGTTGAACTGAATCGTCCGTCCAAGGTGGGGATCGGATGGTTGTCTAGATCTAGGATGAGAATTCGAAGTAGAAGGAGGCTGTTCCCGCAGATGCGCTGAGCGTATTGCTGAGAGTCGTCTAGACATGATCGATGAAGGAAGGGTGGAGATTGCACTAACTGGAAGGTTAAATAGAGATTAGGTATGGCTCAGTTTAAACTCCACACAGCGAAACAAGCTGCTTACAGCGGGTCATATTACAGTTTGTATTCAAATAGACCAGGGATACTCTACAACTTATAGAGTCTCCCTGAATAGACGTACTAGCAAAGCGAAGAGCTTGAAGCCTCGTTTTGAATTCCAGAACTTTCAATATTTTGATTGAATACCAAATATAGACATCACTTTCAATGAGAAAAATCATAAGTTCTCGCTTAGATAACAGTCCGATGGTGTGTCTAAATAATCTTTAACTTCCGTCAATGAAGATGATGTCGGCCGGGCTTTCTCCACACTAATGTCTTCCTAGGTTTTGAGTAAACCATCTGGCCTTGACGACAAGTTCTCTTCCCTTAGCAGAAAGAATTAGAAAATATTCCCTTCAAGTTTGCAACACGACTGCTCAGCAGCATGACAAGAAAAAGAATGATCACACTAACGTGTCACGTGACTAGCCGGAGGACATGGTGCATGCAGGGACTGTGGCTGTCCGAGAATGGGAACAGTGGGTTATGTTCGGGCGAATGAGATAAGAGAGACTGAAAACTTTGTTTAAGGTTCGTTTCAACTCAGCTGTCAATCATGAGAGGGAGAGTACAAACCATGAGATGGGATACGATTTTAAAGATCACATATACTCTAGGGGGCATCACTAATTGGCATCGTTATAAATGAAACCCCGTCATTAAAACTACTCATTTCGATCTTTACTTTACTTAAATCGACCTTTTTGACAACAGTGCACAATTCTCACCCGCGAACGAAATTTCAACCAATCAGAGGGGCGCGTCTCCGTGACGTCATATGAGGAATAGATATGAGGGCCGATGTAGAATTCATGTACATTTCAGGGGGGGTAAATCATCTTGTTTACTGGTTTGCATAAACCTGAACTCGTGACCATTGTTCTGAAAAATGAAAGCTATATGTTCTCACAATCTACTGTCATTTAATTTTGTCACCTGCTTTGCCCAGCTTCCGAGTTACAACTTGTTTTCAAAGACGATTCTGTCAAAATCGCTTGGTGTCGCTAGGCCTTATTTGTTCGAGGTAAATAGGTACATACAGTTTAAGCACACAGCAAATGCTTATATGTATTTCTTATGCAACAATAAAGTTCTGTTTGAATTCTCAAAACAGTTTCCACATGCAATGCAGCAATTAATACTCCCTTGTAACCCGTGTTAGGTGGTATAAACCTACACATGCTATTTGTCATCATTTACTTGATGATCAGTTAATGAATTTATAGCTGGTATAATTAGTGGTAACACCACTTAGATTACCCGACAAAGGTTCCCATTTGGCATTTCTTGTGTCTGAAGTAAATACTCAACATTATAAACATCGATCAAAGGATTAACCGATAACACGCTGATTGATTAATTACTTTTATCTTGCACAGCGGATTTGTTAAAATGTAGTGTTTATGTATGTAGATTTACTAATCTATAATGAATATACTCTGTCGTAAAGTGTCAGTGTAAAAACAACGTCCTTCTTTCAAAGGATTAACCACCAATACATTGATTGATTGCTCATTATTGGCTAAGTAAACTACTTTTTTAAAAAGAATGGCGGACATTATGCAATCAGTTGCCAGGTGTGCTATCTTGGGTGACCAATGAGACTATATACCAATGTGAAATACCTGAAACGATATATCACTTTTTCGTATGTTGGACTGTTAAAGGACATCACTTGGAAGAGCTGCAGATGAATGGCATATCACTCGTTGGATATTGATGGATACATTCCTCGAACAAGGTAATAGCTTGACATTGTTCCTACAACTTTAATCAGTTTTAATTTGAATGTTTGCATTTGGTTTTATTCATTTGTCGTGGCATTCAACAGAATCATTGTTTTCGCTGTGAAGTGTAATGAGACAGACAACATACACTAGGGCGTGTGTTAAGCCCATTTCAGGTGTCCCCCGCCGTTATATTGCTCGAATATTGCTAAAAGTGGCGTAAAACTAAACTCAGTCAGTCACTAGGGCGTGTGTGCGAATTATGATTCACATTGGCAAACTATAGAATGTCTAGATATTACAGTCATGTTATAAGTTCACTATAAGCATCAGCAGATAGCCTGCTTTTTATTAAGTTTAAAAATGCATACAAGTATGAAAACTAACTAAATAGGATTATAAGACCAAATACAAAGAGGTACATTGACTAGTATCTACATACTGGTGAGTGGACGTTAACCACGTGAATGTAGCATAAATGTATCATGCAGTATTGTCACTTCGACCCCCACCTCGCTTCCGTGGAATAAATCGTTATGTTACAAGTTGTGTCATGCAAAATCCTTTTGGTCATGATTCAAATACATATTTAACTGCGAGTAGAAAGTAGTTTTGATTTTCTAACTTGATGAAAACAAACCATAATCTCATTAATCCTAACAGATATTAGCCTGTGACTTCACGATTTTCAAAAATGGCGGCGCTATGTCGTGAACATCCGCCAGTGTGAGTATAATACTATTCAGGTTTGTTTTCACCGAGTTACAAAATCAAAACTACTTTCTACTGGCAGTAAAATATTTACTTGATTGATTGCACTAGGACTTTGCATGACATACCTTATAACATAATAATTTCTCTCGTGGAAGCGAGGTGGGTGTCAATATGATACTACTTACAATATTATTGTCACTTCGACCACAACCTCGCTTCCGAGGAAGAAATCGTTACGTTACAAGTTGTGTCATGGAAAATCCTTTTGGTCATCGATCATATACATTTTTTACTACAACTAGTAAGAAGTTTTGATCCGCGAAGCGACCTGAATACAAGTAAGATATCGTTTCAGGCTTCCCACGCTCGCTTCGCTCTTACAAACATAACCGATGTTCTGTGGAAATCTGTGCATGGTGACACCATCGCCCGACCCCTAGGAGCAATTGACGGCAACGCAAAGATTCGGCATGTCTTCGTTGATGTCGAGAAATCATCAAAATGACGAGCTTGTTACACACTTATATACAACTAACTGAACACCCTTCCTCACATGACGTCACTGCAGTGCTCTGGCAACAGAGTGACGTAACCTGTCTGTGGTTTCGTTGGCGGGCGAGACTGAAGCAGGCGACTTTTTGGCAACTTTTAATCACTCGGTATTAATTAACCACAAGTTTTATAAGAATGAATTTGGTGTTCCGCATAAGACTAACCACAAATCTTTCTTATGTAATGGTTAAAGAGTTAAAAAACCAAAGTTTATATGTTCTTTAAAGATTTTCCCACATTCAACACATTCATTAAACTTGATTTTAACTGTGAGTCCTCATGTGACTGTGCAGATTACCTGATTGTGTAATTTTTTTCCCACATTGAACACATTCATATGGCTTGATTCATTTGTGAATCCTCATGTGTTTCTGATAGTCATCTGATAGTGGAAATCTTTTCCCACATTCAACACATTCATATGGCTTGATTCCACTGTGAATCATCATGTGATTCAGCAGAGTACTTGAATGTCTAAATTTTGTCTCACATACAACACATTCATAAGGCTTGATTCCACTGTGAATCCTCATGTGTGTCTGAAGAGTACTTGAATGTCTAAATTTCTTCCCACATTCAACACATTCATAAGGCTTAATTCCACTGTGAATTCTCATGTGTGTCTGCAGATAACCTGATTGTGTAAATTGTTTTCCACATACAACACATTCATCAAGCTTGGTTCCACTGTGAATTGTCATGTGTGTCTGAAGAATACCAGACTGTGTAAATTTCTTCCCACATTCAGCACATTCATAAGGCTTGATTCCACTGTGAATCCTCATGTGTCTCTGCAGACTACTTGAATCTGTAATTTTTTTCCCACATTCAGCACATTCATAAGGCTTGAGTCCACTGTGAATCCTCATGTGTCTCTGCAGACTACTTGAATCTGTAAATTTTGTCTCACATACCACACATTCATAAGGCTTGATTCCACTATGAATCATCATGTGTGTCTGAAGATGACCTGATAGTGTAAATTTTTTCCCACATTCAACACATTCATAAGGCTTGATTCCACTGTGAATCCTCATGTGTCTCTGCAGACTACTTGAATCTGTAAATTTTGTCTCACATACAACACATTTATAAGGCTTGATTCCACTGTGAATTCTCATGTGTGTCTTCACACTACATAATTGTGTAAATTTCTTCCCACATTCAACACATTTATAAGGCTTGATGCCACTGTGAATCCCCATGTGTCTCTGCAAATTACCTGATTGTGTAAATGTTTTCCCACACACAATGCACTTATGAGGTTTAATACCACTGTGAATTTTCTTGTGTTTCTGAAGTTCACCTGGTTGCTTAAATTCTGTCCCACATTCAACACATTTATAAGGCTTGAGTCCACTGTGAATCCTCATGTGTCTGTGCAGATGATCTGATTGTGTAAATGTTTTCTCACATTCGACACATTCATAAGGCTTGATTCCACTGTGAATCCTCATGTGTCTCTGCAGACTACCTGAATGTCTAAATTTCTTCCCACATTCAGCACATTCATATGGCTTGATTCCACTGTGAATCCTCATGTGTGTCTGCAGACTACTTGAATCTGTAAATTTTTTCTCACATACCACACATTCATAAGGCTTGATGCCACTGTGAATCATCATGTGTGTCTGAAGATGACCTGATAGTGTAAATGTTTTCCCACATTCAACACATTCATAAGGCTTGATTCCACTGTGAATCCTCATGTGTCTCTGCAGACTACTTGAATCTGTAAATTTTTTCCCACATTCAGCACATTCATAAGGCTTGATTCCACTGTGAATCCTCATGTGTCTCTGCAGACTACTTGAATCTGTAAATTTTGTCTCACATACCACACATTCATAAGGCTTGATTCCACTATGAATCCTCATGTGTCTCTGCAAATTACCTGATAGTGTAAATGTTTTCCCACACACAATGCACTTATGAGGTTTAATACCACTGTGAATTTTCTTGTGTTTCTGAAGTTCACCTGGTTGCTTAAATTCTGTCCCACATTCAACACATTTATAAGGCTTGAGTCCACTGTGAATCCTCATGTGTCTGTGCAGATGATCTGATTGTGTAAATGTTTTCTCACATTCGACACATTCATAAGGCTTGATTCCACTGTGAATCCTCATGTGTCTCTGCAGACTACTTGAATCTGTAAATTTTGTGTCACATACCACACATTCATAAGGCTTGATGCCACTGTGAATCATCATGTGTGTCTGAAGATGACCTGATAGTGTAAATGTTTTCCCACATTCAACACATTCATAAGGCTTGATTCCACTGTGAATCCTCATGTGTCTCTGCAGACTACTTGAATCTGTAAATTTTTTCCGACATTCAGCACATTCTTAAGGCTTGATTCCACTGTGAATCCTCATGTGTGTCTGAAGAGTACTTGAATGTCTAAATTTCTTCCCACATTCAACACATTCATAAGGCTTGATGCCACTGTGAATCATCATGTGTGTCTGAAGATTACCTGATAGTGTAAATTTGTTCCCACATTCAACACATTCATAAGGCTTGATTCCACTGTGAATCCTCATGTGTCTCTGCAGACTACTTGAATCTGTAAATATTGTCTCACATACAACACATTTATAAGGCTTGATTCCACTGTGAATTCTCATGTGTGTCTTCACACTACATAATTGTGTAAATTTCTTCCCACATTCAACACATTCATAAGGCTTGATACCACTGTGAATCCCCTTGTGTCTCTGCAAATTACCTGATTGTGTAAATGTTTTCCCACACACAATGCACTTATGAGGTTTAATACCACTGTGAATTTTTTCTTGTGTTTCTGAAGTTCACCTGGTTGCTTAAATTCTGTCCCACATTCAACACATTTATAAGGCTTGAGTCCACTGTGAATCCTCATGTGTCTGTGCAGATGACCTGATTGTGTAAATGTTTTCTCACATTCGACACATTCATAAGGCTTGATTCCACTGTGAATCCTCATGTGTGTCTGCAGATTGCCTGAACGTGCAAATTGTTTCCCACATTCAACACATTTATAAGGCTTGACTCCACTGTGAATCCTCATGTGTCTCTGCAGATGATCCAATTTGTGAAATGTTTTCTCACACACAATACATTGATGAGGTTTGGTCTGTGCAGATGACCTGATTGTGTAAATGTTTTCTCACATTCGACACATTCATAAAGCTTGATTTCACTGTGAATCTCATGTGTGCCTGCAGACGAACTGATTATTTAAATGTTTTCTCACACACAATGCATTCATGAGGCTTCATTCCTCTGTGAATCTTGATGTGTTCTGAAGATTTCCCGAATGTGTACAGAGCATGTGCCTTTTCAGGTCACCCGATTTAGAAAATGTTTCCAAACTCTCAGAACATGTTTATGGGACTGCTTTGTTGGACTACTATGGTTTTCAGGTTCTCCAGACCATCTGTTTCCAGGGTTCCAATAACGGGTTCTTTCATGAGATCACCAGTTTCCAGGATTCCAATTACAAGTTCTTTCTTGAGATCCCTTATTTCCAAGGTGTCAATGAAAATGTTTCTTGGCATCTCCTGTTTTCAGCAAACCCCTTTTGCATTTGTTTCAGTGACAGAGAAAACAGTCTGTGGATTGCATCATCTTCCTTCATTAATCTGTGGATGTTATGGTGTTTACTGAAAACATAAGAAACGCTGTCACACTCTTATAACATCTGGGGTAGGGGCCATACAAAATATGATGGAGTGACATCTAGCATGACAACTAACCTGACACTATAAAAATGTGTTCCCACACTCAACACACTATATACAACTTAGCTGATTGCTTTCATCATTCAGTATGTAAAATGCTAATGGCAGGATGTATATTTATCCTTTCTATAGCCTCACAATGAACTGCATTCAGCTGATTAATATCCATAATTTTACTGATTTTACATATCTAAAGGTTATGACTAGTTCATCATCCTATCAAACAAAAAAACCTATATAGATGTCTTACAAAGTGGTGTGCAGCCAGATGATATACTCCATTGTGTACAATTGGTTAAAAGCAATGAATATACGGATCATTATTCCATTTAGCCCCAATATTGTCATCAATATTTTCATTTTTATGGATATGCAAAAATGCTGTGCTATGAAATTCACTCATATCATTTAAGACGTGTAGCAGCACGTGTAGCACCTGTTGAAGTGCGGGCACACGTGCATTACACCGAACACCTACCTACCATATTGCAATAGATCCCTACCCCTGCCCTGCCCCTCAGATAGGAATGCATTACACTGAACACCTTCCTACCATATTGGATTAGATCCCTACCCCTGCCCCTCAGGTAGGAATGCATTACACCGAACACCTGCCTACCATTGGATTAGATTCCTTCCCCTGCCCCTTAGGCAGCAATGCATTTTATTACCCACATGGTCAACGTATGGATAGTTGCATACTAATCTCGTACATCTCAGTCACACGAGTGTCGTATCGCGATGACCTGAGCCAGAACGACTTGCCCTGAGATTCTAAAGATTTGGTTGGATGATTACACAGTGCCATTTAGAAAGTGGTCAATGTAGCCTTGTTATATTTGGGATAACACTTTCTGTCTAAAGTAAAGGATTGGTACTATCCGGGATTCGAACCAACACCCTCACCCACACCCTAATCGCCAGCACACAAAGTCAGCTACCCAACTCACTGTGCCACCGCAACTTCCACAAAAGTGGAAATCGGACAACTAGTAGTCACGACTGCGGACCATGTGTACGCCTCTGATAAGTGTAAATTGGCAAGGCTCTTATGGCCGAAGGCTATGATTACACCGTGCCATTTAGAAAGTTATTAAATGTGGGCGATGATGATTCTTATGGACAAATATGAACAATGTATGTAACCCCCCCCCCGTCATGTATAAAATTGCTGACAAACTGCAACAAACTGGATGAACACGCACACATGTACGCACACCGACACGCGCGCGCGCGCACACACACCCCTCGAATAAAATGTTAGGGACCTCCTGAAAATAACAACTTGATCGAAGCTGCAAATAAAAGAATATGGCGGAAGGGGTCCAGTGTAATGCATTGCTACCGAAGTGCTTATCTCTGTTTAGTTTAGCCTGTGTAATTACTTCCGTCACTGAAGGTAACAATCGGCGTTATTCTCAGGGTGTATGACCACCTGTGTTTTTGTTTCTACTATATAGTTCTTTTCTTCGTTCTTTTCTTTGCATATGGTAACACATGGCTGATACAGCATCAACACAGGCTTGCAGAGTGCGAAATTGGAAAGATTTCCGCCCGTAACCCCCTTTTTGTGTTTATCATTCTGTGCCAAATAGTTTTTATCATAAAACCTTAACACTAACCCTCACCCTAACACTAAACCAAACGCTAATCCTAAAATCCTAAACCTAACCCTAACATCTCGACTGACTGAGTTTGGTTTTACGCCGCTTTTTAGCAATATTCCAGCAACATCACGGCGGGGACACCAGAAATGGGCTTCACACATTGTGCCCATGTGGGGATTCGAACCCGGGTATTCGGCGTGACGAGCCAACGCTTTAACCGTTAGGCTACCCCACCGCCCCCCTAACATCTCGAAATAATCACAATAAATAGAATACATTTCAAACGGGGGTTGGGGGTGGGGTGGGGGGGGGAAAAAAAAATCTTACTCCACTTATTATTGCCCACTCACTGGTCCTGTGGTCTACTGGGGAATTTTGAAAGGATTCTTTTCCTGGCTTGTACTGCTGTAGCCGAGAGCCGCGATGCGGTCCCGCACAGTCAATGCACGACCCTGCACTCCACATGTCTTGTTGACATAGGACAGCATCGCGGCTCTCGGCTAGTATTGCTGAAAATGACACGTCTTAGGTCCAACACTCGTTCACTGATAACCATCTAGATACGTACTTCTTTATATGAATGTTGGACCAAGGACGTATTATTTTCAGTAAGGTCCCGTGACAACATCGTTGTAAGGGGTAAGCATTGCCTTTGTCAGAGAAATGCATCCGACTCGAACAGCCATACTGCAGATAACGAACGGTAACATATCTAGATACCGACGATCACGAACAAACGAGACACAACTACAAGTGTAGATGTTAATAATGCTCTACCTTCGAATTGTAATCTGTTGCATTTACTTACGTTCGAGCGCCACAACTATGTACGACCTTTCGACTTCGGGTTGAAATATAAAACGACCAGATTTTCCGTTGCGAGCGCGGTTGTAGCTACTTGTAAACAAAACCGGCCCCACATTTGCTTGTGTTAGTCAAGTTGAATCTAAGTCGTGTTCTGATTGGATAGAAAGAAGGGAGATAATTCGTTTTGCGATCTTTTGCCGCTAGGGGATTTTACAAGAACCGGGAAATACGGCCGTATTAGAACAGAGGTTCGTAGGAAGATATGACAAGTAACCTCTGTGGGAAGAGAATGGACTACTGTATGACAGATCAATTTAAGCATACATTTATGGTTGTATTTGATTGTGGCATTTGGTTCACCAATAACATAAGATAGATTCTGTTAACTAAGTGTCTTGCTTCAGTAATTTTGTCAATGAGGCGAGATTGTGTTCCTTATGTCTCATGCACTGTATACTAGATTATGGTAATAATAAATGCATTAATGATAGCTTTTCTTTATTTTCTTTAGATAACATTTTGTTCTGTTATGTGTTTCAGTATTCATTTAGAAGATTTAGTGCTCATTAAAATATTTACATGCCCATAATGATTAAGCAAATTTTGTACACTTTTTTACTTCTCACAGATGTTCTAGTCCAATAAACCAAAAAGCATCTTCAAGAAGAGATACTTTTAATGGTTTTTGTTGGTGAAGTACACCGAAAAGCGTGCAAGTTCTTAATTAAAGAATTCAGAATTTATCTTTTTGAATATTCTGAGCACCATAAGGTTTGTTATTTCATTTTCTTGAACATGTTCTCTGTGGCATGTTTGACAGACACACATGAAATATTACAAGGGTATCAGCGAGCATATCCTAACACGTGGGATGGTAGGTAAGAAGCAATACTATAGGTTTAGTTTATTTTCAGTGACTACAAAGTTAACTTTAAGAATTTGACCTGTTAGTGTATTTCCTTTTTCTATCCCTTGGCTTTGGAATTTTAGGTCCTAAAAACCCTGTCCATACCTGTCTAGGGGCGGTGGGGTAGCCTAAGGGTTAAAGTGTTCGTTTGTCATGCAGAAGACCCCGGTTTGATTCCCCA